AATGACATTCCATTTCCTTCTTTTTCTTTCAATTTTTTTTATTGCTAGTGGGGTGGGACTAAGTCCCATGTACTGCAGCCACTTCTGGCCTATTGTATCAGCCCCAGATGATAGGTGAGGGTGATTGTGGAGCAATTGGTGGAATGAAGATTGGCAGGGGAAATCGAAGTACTCGGAAAAAACCTGCCCGAGCGCCACTTTGTCCATCACAAATCCCACTTGACCAGACCCGGGATCGAACCCGGGCCGCGGCGGTGGGAAGCCAAGATGACTTACTTGGAAGAATCTTTTTTTTTTTTAGAGGCGGTCGCTTGGTCGGTATGGTTCGCTTGCGGACTGAAGTCACGGAGTTTGTTTTGTTTTCTTGTGAAATTAAAGCAGAATGTTCAGAGTAATTTGAAGAAAAGTAGCCACAACATATTTTTATGCGTAATGCTAGTCTGACAGAACAAAAGAAACCGCGGGGGGGTTCCCAGAGATGGGTGTGAGGGCCGCCCACTTTCCATTCAGCTCAGCCCCTAATCCTCTTATTGCAATTACAGGAGGATTAGAGAGAAACTACTTTCGAGATTATTGCAGTGGGCATTTGGATCTGACGCGGCGTTTGCTTGATTGCTGAATTATCTGTCCGTGTCTTGTCGCCTTTCGTGACTTGTGAAGCGTTGATCTGTCTTCATTCCTATCGAAAAGATAATTTTCAAACGGTTGTTGACGCAGACACAAGACGAAAAACCTCAGTTCAGAGGAAAAGGGTTGCAGTGCAGGGGATCGTTTAGAGGGATAATCGGGGGAAAAGACTTGACCCAACAGATTGGGGTGGCGGTGACGCTGTTATCTCGCATTCGAGAAGTGCTGTGTTCGAACCTCAATCAGGACAGCGGTTATCCTGACTGAGGGGTTTTCGTTTATTTTCTCAGTACCTCCCAGCAAATGCCGGGATTAGCCTTCTTCCACATCCCTTTCAATTCATCAGTCGTCCTGGTATCCGACGCAATATAGTCTCGATATTTAGAGCGTCGTTAAATAACCAACTGAGAAAATTGACCACAGAAATATGTTTATCCCCTCGTGGAGGCGAGCTCTAATACCTCCACCATAGCCCTTCGAGTCGTAGAAGGAGATGAAAAGAGAACCCGGTTCCTAGGTGGTATAACAGGCCACCCTGTTCCTGGGACACACAAATACATGGACTTGGTTCTCCAGTATGGGGGTTGGACGCAGGGCTGACGGCTTTGCTCTGTATAAAAATTAATGTTACGAAATCCAAAGCAGAGAAAACCGGATTCAGTCTGGCGGAATCTTCTAAGGAAGGCCATGGCTCAAAAGGGATGTTTGCCAATGTTAATGATCATTAGAGACGTTTCAATAGCGCATGATGGTTAGTTGAACGCGGGGATCTTCACCGTTAGCCGTAACTGATTGAATTTCTTTAAACAGAGTCATGAATGCCAGTCAACAGCGGCCGTGCGGTCTAAGGCGTGAGACATCTTCACCCACTCGAACACTGGGATTGTGGGTTCCAATCCCACTTGAGGCATGGATGTCTTTGTGCGTTTATTCTGTTTGTGTTGTCCTGTGTGCAAGTATCGGCCTTGCGACGTGCTGATCCCCCGTACAAGGTGTCCTGCCGACTGTGTAATGGATCTAGAAACTGAAAAAGGGTCAAAGGACCAACAGCCCTAAATAGATAGATATATGCCGGTCACGGTAGACGAGCGGTCTAATACATGTATTGTCTTCGCTCGCTTGGAAACCGGGATCGTGGGTTCGAATCCCACTCAGAGCATGGATGTTTAGTTTGTGTGTGTGCGTTTTTCTGTGTTTGTGTACAGGTAGAGGCCTTGCGACGAGCTGATGACCCGCCCAAGGAGTCCTACCGTCTGTGTAAGCTCTAGAAAAACCGAAGTGAACGGAGAAGTTCATGGAGGTAGGCCTAGGCCCACTGAGGCTGTAGTGCCAAGGAAAAAAAAGATAGATATATAGGTAGATAGCGTCTAGATGCACCTCATCACGTCGTATTTGTTGAGGGGGCGTGGGGGGCTGGTAATTAGCTTCCTAAAACCCACACTTCACGGTATTTCGATTTATATCGATCCGGAGCCAATACGTGCCCCACCCTTTCTTCCCCCCCTCCCCATCGAACTATTCGACCGAAAAGCAAACCGACCCTCTAGCCCCCTGGACACGGCCGTATCGGAGCACTGCATAAAGCAATTTAGTCTACAAATATTTTGAGCGGTTCACCGCGGTCCCATGGTTCAATGTGCGTTTTGTAGGAAGGGGGAGAGAATATATAAATAAATACAGTGGTAGGTCGCAGGTTCGATTCCCGATGGGGTCATTGGATTTTTAAATCCATCTAAACCTTCCAGCCGCACTATGGCCCTGGGGTCGACTCAGCCACTAACAGAAATTAGTACCAGGATTCTTCCTGAGGGTAAAGGGCGGCCGGCGCATAAGGGTGACAATTTTGCCTCCATCTGTGAGCCGACTGTCTTGGAACATGTGATAGCCTCTACGTCTCACAACCCTATGGGCCTCCACGGCCTGATACAGGGATAGCTTTGCCTTGTACTACACAGAAAGGAACAAACGTGACGTCATGAAGCATTACAGAAGGATCGCGTTTGTTTTTAGTACTAATATAATACCGTCACTTGAGGGAGTGTGATTATAGACGGGGTTTTGTTTGGAGATCTTATTTATTGACCACTTATCACACGACTCATAACTACAAGCAATTACAGCGCCTTTGCTGATGCCCACACTTTACAGTTCACTGTTACACTCTAGTGTTCTTAGTCTATTATAGTCTGCACTTGTCGTTTCCTGGTAACGACTTATAACAGTGGAGATTCTTCAGTTTCAGTCTTCACGTCGTTACTGTCCGGCGAATATCCCGCAACTCACTGTTGCTCTAAACTCTCCTGGTTGTTAAATTTCGGCACGGCCCGCTCAGAAAACACCGTTCCTCACTGTTGTAATTGAGTTTTTTTCTTGTTAAGAATCTGCTGCATAGCAGAGAGCGTTATTTAATTATTTGTTTCGGGGTCGTTACCCAGTAACGGGGCTACACACCACAATACTAATTAATTAGATGGCCATTGTATTCGCACTTGGCACATTTAGGAAATTTGCTAGTCTTCCAGGGCGAGTGATGCCTACATTCAGATGTGCCCCGTTTTATGTTCCCTGATGTCTGGAGATACGTGGAAACTGACAGGCCTGCAAGTGGTAGCTCCTCGTTTAATTAACGTCTGCGGGATAATTGACTTTGATAAGAAGAGACGCAGAGGAATGCGCGTACACTGCGCACTGATACAGCATGGCTGAGACATATCGACTTGGCACTGTGCCAGAGAATGCTTCCGTAATGAGTAGTTTCTGTTGAGACAGCAAAAATATGAATTCATATTCTCTGAAGTAAGCGATGAGTGCCGGTCACGGTAGCCGAGCGGTCTAAGGCATGTACTGTCTTCGCTCGCTTGGAAACCGGGATCGTGGATTCGAATCCCACTCAGGGCATGGATGTCTAGTTTGTGTGTGTGCGTTTTTGTGTGTTTGTGTCCAGGTAGAGGCCTTGCGACGAGCTGATGACCCGCCCAAGGAGTCCTACCGAATGTGTAAGATCTAGAAAAACCGAAGTGAACGGAGTTCATGGAGGTAGGCCTAGGTCCACTGGGGCTGTAGTGCCAAGGGGGAAAAAAAAGCGATGCGTAACTTCCATTGCATTGCTTATTTATTTCGTGCTAGCTCATCATCTGGCCGAGTGACTCACATAAATCTTGTCGAAACAACTCATTTTTGGCGCATTGCATTTAGGGTTCTGAAGGACTGCATCTTATTAATATTATCACGTGATTTAATATAGACGGAGTTTGGGTTGGTATTCGGATTTATTGAACACTTGCAGAGCATAACTATAAATAACTACGACAGCCACACTGAGTTACACTCTATATATCACTCTAACTACAGCACATATAAAGTCTTCTCACCCTTCACTAGCTGTTGCCAGATAGCGGTTTCCAACGGCGGACGTTCCCCTTACTCTGGCTACCCGAACTGTCACTGGCTCAGCTACAAGATTGTCACTTCTCACAACTGTCAGAGTCAAAGTTAAAGTCACATTGCGATTGACGATCAGTCAGTAAGTCTGCTCATGACCAGATATTTATTACTGTTTGACAGTTACGGTCCTGTTTCTATGGGGCTGCCTCTCTGACGAGAGGACGAGTCTGCCTTTTGTGTATACACAATGCCACTCTCTCTTTACTGCCCTGAAGATGAAGGTAGGAAGTGGTTCTGAAACATTGGTACCTGTATACCAGACTACACGGCATCGCATACAAGAAGATGGTAACCTCGAAGTGTTACTTTTCGAAGCGAAGTATATGTTTGTGCTGGGTCAGATTTGAAGTTTCCACGGCGTCGTCTGGATTATGACACCGTGCAGACTGGTAGGTGAATCCTAAAGTTTCGGAGGGACATCTTCAAATAGCAGACTACACGGTCTCAGCCCAGAGGATCATAATATAAGTCGTGTTTTGTTACTCGAGGAATGCGTTAATACAAGAATAACCCTCACACCACTGAAGGTCTGCAGAATGAAATAACACGCATAATTAGTTCAATTACCGTGGACCAACTTCAGAAAGTGTCGCATAATTTATTTATGCGATGCAAGGCAAGTTTGCAAGCAGAAGGGGTTCACTTTCAGCACCTTTTATAAAGCAATGTAGGTCTGTATTATATCTTTACAGCATTCCTATAAATGTGTGCATGTACAGAAGCTGGTGTGAGGGAATTGTCTCGGAGAAACATTCCATCCGCTCTACGCTAGCGAGTGTGCGCGCGTTTATCAGCGCTGATGACTCAGTCCGCTATCGGCAGTTACAGCAGCAATCTGTGAGGAATGTTGGGCCGGGTCAGCGGTGTTGCGAAATTTCCTCCTTGATTGAACGCACTGTATTAATTTGTTGGTATCTGGCTCGTTTCAGGTGGTGCACCGGTGGAGGCAACTCATGTCGTTCAATGACGCGCCCGAAACTCCAGGCAGGTAAGATGGCAGCACTGTCTCGACTCAGATATAAATCTACAATTAACCCTTTAAAGACTGAATTCGTTATAAATAATACATAAGAATTTAGTCCGTACCTCACTGCAAACACATTACGTCTCAAAGTCCAACCGGTTAATGCTGTTTAGGGAAACAGTCGCTGTTTACTGTGAGAACCATACGGAGCACACAGATACACTCTGTGGGTAGGATGCAGACTTTTTGTGTGTTAAAGCGGGTGGTACATATAGTGACCACTGTGTGGTCGCGCCATAGCTCAAGCGGTTAGTCGTTGGCTTCCAACCGCGGCGGCCAAGTTTCGATCCCGCGTCTGGTCAAGTGGGATTTGTGGTGGGCAAAGTTGTGCGGGGGCGGGGGCGCGTTTCTCAGAGTACTTCGGTTTCCCCTGCCAATCTTCATTCCACCAAATTCTCCATCATCATAATCACCCGGGGCAGGTACAATAGGCCAATCAGTGGCCGCCGTGCCGAGTGGACCCAGTTGGATTCCCCCCCCCCACTAGCGAATTAATTAATTAGTGACCACTGTGGTTTAAAATGTCAAAGAGGTTAGCTTACACGTCCTCACGACGGTGAGCAGGCTGTTGCCTTCTGGATTATAAACCGTGTAGTAATATAAATGGAACCGACGTTCGGAGGAATATTCTGCCTCCATCTTCATGTTGAAAGCTTATAGGGCTTGGATTCTGCCAGGTTATATAGGAAGGTTACAAAATACCTACACCTGCTGCTCAATCGAACCCGGGCCGTCCTGCCTGTAACTATTTGCTATACTGACTGAGCTAACCCGGCTCACCTTTTATAATGGATTTGCGGTCCTCTGGTTTTTGTCAGTTTCTGTGGAACGCTGAGAGAGCTGTAATTCTCATGATGATGCGTGAGCCGAAACACAGAATTGGACATTAGTTGAGCCTTCCTGGTTCGATGCGTACGAAGCCACGATACTGTGAAATTTGAGCTACACAATGCATGCAACTGATTACAAGCGAAATATTACGAGGTTTTGTTGAATGCAAATGGGAAAATATTTTTGCCGGGTTTTGGTGGTCCCTGATCGGGACCACTCGCCGCTGTTAGCTGTCTGAGTGACATCAAACTCGCCGATAAATATGTCATTGCCACTTGGATAATATTTTGTATTGTTTTGTTACTGCAATATTCGGAAAATCTCTGTGCTCTTCTGTGGTCGTAAAGTGATCATTTAGGGGTGTTTATTTTGATTTATAAGGGGATGTGAATAATGGAAGGATTGGATCATTACTGTTTGTCATACTGGACGTAGGGTCAGCTGTCGCACTCCGCCCTCTCGCAATTTGAAATGATTCAGCTAATTTTGACTCTTATCTGTCTATCTGCGTGTCTGTCTATCTATTCATCTATGGCTCTACAGCCCTTTGTTTGACCTTGGCCGCTTTTTCAGTTTCTTCATCCATTACACAGTCAGTGTAGGACTCCTTGATCTGGGGATCAGCCCGTCGGAAGACATCCAAGCCTCGAGTAGGATTCGAACCCACGATCCCAATGTTTGAGCGGACGAAGACAGTACATGCCTTAGACCGCTCGGCTACCGTGACCGGCAATGTATAAGAATAATATATAAGAATTCAGTTCGTGCCTCACAGGAAACAGATCCGAACCCACGATCCCGGCTTCCGAGCGAGCGAAAACAGTGCATGCCTTAGACCGCGCGGCTACTGTAACCGGCAGTGTATAAGAATAATATATAAGAATTCAGTTCGTATCTCACAGCAAACAGATCCGAACCCACGGTCCCGGCTTCCGAGGGAGCGAAGACAGGTCATGCCTTAGACCGCGCGGCTACTGTGACCGGCAGTGTATAAGAATAATATATAAAAATTCAGTTCGTACCTCACAGGAAACAGATCCGAACCCACGGTCCCGGCTTCCGAACGAGCGAAGACAGTGCATGCCTTAGACCGCGCGGCCAATGTGATCGGCAGTTCTTACTCTGGAGAGCATAACAGAAGCGGGAACTTTATGACTGATAACATATCGGAGTCTGTAAAATGTAAACTTGTTCTGACTTTAGAAACAAAAACAAAATAATAAAGTATTTGCTGTATTTCCGTATAAACATCTCCCTCCCATAAACTTACGGGTAATTTTGTGTGGGAGAGATGCACGGGACACGTAGCCTCATGGGAGAGACAAAAAATTTGTAAAAATATTGTAGATCAATCCGAAAGGGAGAAATTCAGTCTGAGGATATGGATTGGATTCATCTAGCTCAGGATGGAGTTCAGTAGCGCTCTTATGAAGATTACAATGTACCTTCGGGGTGCATAAAACGCGAGGTATATCTTGACTGTGTGAGCAACTGTTTGCTGTTTAAGCAGTATCTCATGGATTTATGTATGTATGTATGTATGTGATATATTGGGTTATAAGGTACGAATGAAGAGTGTATAAGAAGTTGGTATGAAGCTGCCGTGGCCGATTTTAATGTAAAATTTGTTTTGGGGCTTGGAGATAACGAGAGGAACCACGGAAACCCTGGATCAAGATAGCCAGTAATCCCGTCAGGCTCGATCAGAATTCATCTCAGCTATAAATGGCCTTTGAAATGTGAACTGACAGATTGCTCGTAAGTTGTGGAGTTTTACTACTCTAACTTTTTAAGGGGAGAACGTAACTCGAACTTTTAAGAGTTAATTTTATTGCGTAATAAATTGCATGCCGCTGTCGTTCTCAAATCGTCAAACAGAACTTTACGAGAGGGCTTAAACAGTATTGACCACGCGTGAATATGCCTCCTGCACCACTGGAAGGCGGGCAGGACTTTATGTGCCATAAAGAAGTTACAAGAAAACAGCAAAATGTTACAGGTTCATGTAACTTTTATGGGGCATTATAACTTTTCCAATATCTTTTATGTAAATGTGATAATGTGTTATCTTGGTGTCGCTATATCGAGCGATAAGCTGTCCTTTAGTATGCATCTGGGCTACAAGGAGCAACACGGGAGCGCCGTCATGCCAGTAGCTACTTGGGGCCCCGTGCAGCAATAGCTATCAAGCAAACGTTGGACTTGGTCACCAGCGCCGATCGATATGGACCGTGGCTTTATTCCGTTCAGCTCGCATAGATGCATGGATTCACTGATGGATGATTGGATTGACGAATGGACGGGTGGCTGGATTGATGGACAGACGGATGGATTGATGGATAGGTTCATGGACGAATGGATTGACTGAAGAATGAATGGATGGATGATTGCGAGGGAGAGCGGACCTGTTACTTTATGATACAACGCGAACCGCGCAGAAAACGGAAACAGTTGGGGCCAGGCAGAGACAGAAGGGGACACACACAGATACACAGACATCAAGGTGATCTCATAAGCATCTTTCTGTTTCTTCAAAACAAGGAAAGTGCGCTAAAACTGAAATTAATCAATGGAAATACGAAGAAGAAAATGAAGAATGGAAGTAAGAGAGAGAGAGAAATGCGAAGGAAAGATTATAGATTAGATGACAGAAGAAGTTTGCATGTCTTGCACAACGACAGACGTAGGAACTTGGTTATGTACGGTGAAGACATTTTGCGGGTCTGCATATGAAAACAGAGGAGTCTTGGTCTGGTCACTGTGGAGAAGAGAAAAATCTCCTGCCCCTTCAGCGAATCGAACCCCGGCCGTCCAGACCGTAGCCCGTCTCTGTGCCGAAACTTGCAGGTGTGTGATTGTAGTACTGAAACTAATATTTGAGAAACAGCGTGCGTTTGTGAGCTGGATTAAACTGGCTCATGATGGGAATTGTTTTGTAAATAGAGCAGAGAAACTTCTGATTCTACAAAAGTGGTTAATTCTTGGCCAGCTGAACAACTATCAGCTATCGAAGGAGGCCCATAGTTTTGTCACTAACAGCAAAATATTAATTATGGTACTGCATTGTGAAGAGAGTTACATCAACTAAAGCCCAACCCAGTTTAATGCCGTTAACAAATGCAGTGCCGCCAAAGGCCATAACACGTTGAAAACACGGGTTCTCGTCCCGTCACCGAAGTGAAGCAACGTTGGGCGTGGTTAATACTTGGCTGGGTGACCGTTTGAGAACACAAAGTGTTATTGAAATGTGTCGTTTTTGGTAAATTCATTGTGTGTTTTCATCGCATTAAACTGTAAGTATATAAACGAACGGTTATGTTGGAGTTTCGAATTTCGTCAAGGGAACAGCTGCATGCAATTTGAATCACAGCCAATATCTCCCTCTCGTATTTTAATAGTCTCCTCGTTCTAAACGTCAGTATTATGTCTCTCATGCATACAAAACACTTACAGTGAAGAATACCGTTTTCTGATATGTGACGCCGTGTAATCTGGTAGGAGTTCACCGGCTTAAGAGGAAGCTACTGCCCCTAACTTAAGGGTTGACCGATCACAGTGGCCGCACGGTCTAAGGCATGAATTGTCTTTGCACGCTAGAAAGCTGGATTCTTGGGATCGAGTCCCACTCGGGGCATGGATGTTTCTGTTGCGTTTATTCCGTGTTTGTATTGTCCTGTGTGTAGGTAGCGGCCATGCGACAGGCTGTCCTACCGTCTGTGTAAAAAAAAGATTACGAAACTGAAGAAGAGGGCATGGCCAACAAAATGGCTGTAGATTCATTGATAAATGAATTAACTTAAGGGTTGAAGAGTAGACCAAACCAGCAGGAGGCAGGAAGCAGGTGCGACACACCATAAAATATTCCTATTTATGTTAGTAACTTTTTTGTTTCAAACATTTTAAGTGCTAAATATTATTATGGCCGAGATAATGAAGAAACACATTTAGGTCTACATGTAAAGTATCTGTTATTATTAGTATTATTATCATCATCATCCAATTGTAACCCAAACTTGAATGTGTCTACAAAGTTTAGAAAATCTCCCAAATATAAAACTTTATGAAAATCCGTTCAGTGGTTCTCGAGTTGCTATGTGCGGACAGACTGATATTGCAGACTTCATATCCACATT